AGTGCAACAGAAACCCAAAACAAACACAACATCTTCTGTTACAATGTTTTCATTTTCTTCCAATACAAAAAACATTCCATTGTTTGCAGTACATTCCTTCACCACACATAGGTTGTGCACATGGTTTTAGGGATGCTCCCTTTAACACAGTCGGGAGTCGACTTTGTGTACACCACATCCATTTGCGTGCCCACACACACCCTGATAAGGCGCACTTGCCGCTTTTGGAAGGTGCCCCGATGTGCACCGTACATTCAAATGTTTACCCCACATACATTTTCGGGACGCTCTTTGGTTACATCTCGAGTGTCCTTCTGTACCCTTACAGTCAGTTTTGGATGCCCTCGTGGGCTACCCCGTGGGTGCGTTCTGAGCGGGTTGTATCGGAGCAGCTCCTGACGGGGTCAGGCCCCATCTGGCCTTTGCCATAGTTGAGCTGAACTTCAGCTTGTCCCTCAGTATATAATCCCTGATCCTAGCGTCTGCGAGCCTGAGGCAGGCCCTCACCATCCTACCGTTCTGCCAGAAGAACACCTGGTTTCGGGAGTGCCAGAGGGCCTCCTTTACTGAGTCTATGATCTTCCAGGAAGACTCGATGTGGGTTTTGCTGTGAGTGCCCGGGAACAGGTCGTACAGTACTGAGTGCCGTGACAGAGGGGCCCCAGGGATGAACCGCGTGAGAATCCAAACCGCCTTTGCAAAACAACACTCCAGTAAGAGGTGATCCCCGGTCTCCTGGCCTCTGCAACTGGCCCGAGGGTAACGTGCTGACTGGCCCAGACCTCGACCATGCATGAAAGCCCTGAGGGGGAGGCCCCTTTTATCGCCAGCCCGGCCATGTCCTGATAGTTGTTGGTCAGGGCTGTTGACGAGGCGTTTTGCCAGATGCCCTCCTGTCTTTACGCAGTCATGTACCATGTGCACCAAGGCTGTATCTTTGGTCCTTTCCTTTTCATCCTCTTCATGCTCCTCCTTGGTAACATCAGCTGTAGGCAAGAATTATTATTATTATTATTACTCCCCCAACCACTCCCTTCCCTCTGGTTAGGTTTCCTTCTCCTCACCCCACTTTGGCCCACCATGCGAGTTCTCAGGCATTTTGCACGTATCCTTTGGAATTCTCTATGAATTCTCTCCGCCTTGGCCACTCCAACTCTGCTTCCGAAACCCGCTTAAAGACCTGTCCCTGCGCCTTTGGCCACCTACCCTCACTCAGCCTTTCTAAAGCACCTTTGAGCCATTCCCTGCTACAGGTGCACATTGTCGTTGTAGCAGCCTTCCAGCTAAAATCAGTTTAGACTCAGATTTATGCCGGACAGTGTGTTTACCAACTGAGCCACAGGGGAGCTCTATATTCCCAGCATTTAATCTGGAGAGAGTCACCACTGAATGTATTGGAACATTGCAAGCAGTCCATGCGTTTGAACCAGAGGGCGCTGCAAGAAACTGGGGGTGTTGGAGGGGTGTGTGTGTGTATGGGGGGTTGGAGGGGTGTGTGGGGGGGGGGTTGGAGGGGTGTGTGGGGGGGGTTGGAGGGGTGTGTGGGGGGGGGGTTGGAGGGGTGTGTGTGTGGTGGGGGGTTGGAGGGGTGTGTGTGGGGGGGGGTGTTGGAGGGGTGTGTGTGTGTGTGGGGGGGGGGGTGTTGGAGGGGTGTGTGTGTGTGGGGGGGGGTATTGGAGGGGTGTGTGTGGGGAGGGGGGTGTTGGAGGGGTGTGTGTGTGGGGGGGTGTGTTGGAGGGTGTGTGTGTGGGGGGGGGGGTGTTGGAGGGGTGTGTGTGTGTGGGGTGTGTTGGAGGGTGTGTGTGTGGGGGGTTGTTGGAGGGGTGTGTGTGTGTATGGGGGGTTGGAGGGGTGTGTGGGTGGGGGGTTGGAGGGGTGTGTGGGGGGGGGGTTGGAGGGGTGTGTGGGGGGGGTTGGAGGGGTGTGTGTGTGGTGGGGGTTGGAGGGGTGTGTGTGGGGGGGGGTGTTGGAGGTGTATGTGGGGGGGTGTTGGAGAGGTGTGTGTGGGGGGGTGTTGTTGAGGGTGTGTGTGTGTGTGGGGGGTGTTGTTGAGGGTGTGTGTGTGTGGGGGGGGGGTGTTGGTGGGTGTGTGTGTGGGGGGGGTGTTTTGAGGGTGTGTGTGGGGAGGGGGGTGTTGGAGGGGTGTGTGTGTGGGGGGTGTGTTGGAGGGTGTGTGTGTGTGGGGGGGGTGTTGGAGGGGTGTGTGTGTGGGGGGTGTGTTGGAGGGTGTGTGTGTGTGGTGGGGGGTTGGAGGGGTGTGTGGGGGGGTGGGTGTTGGAGGTGTATGTGGGGGGGTGTTGGAGAGGTGTGTGTGGGGGGGGTGTTGGAGGGGTGTGTGTGTGGGGGAGGTGTTGGAGGGGTGTGTGTGTGGGGGGGTGTGTTGGAGGGGGGGGGGTGTGGGGGGGGTGTTGGAGGGGGATGTGGAGGGGGGGTGTGGGGGGTGTGGAGGGGTGTGTGTGGGGGGGGTGGGGGTGTGTGTGTGGGGGGGTTGTGTGTGGTG